CCAGATGCTGGGGAAACAGACCTTACTACTCTCTCAGCGGTGGGTAGTTCAGCTCCAGAAAGTAAAAATCCAGGCCAAGATTTTGTTTCAACCAAAAGGTTGAACATAAAGAGTCACAGTCAGAGAGTACCTGGCTGGTTGGTTGAAACAAAATCTTGGCCTGGATTTTTACTTGAACTGAACTATCCCCTGCTGGTCCTTCCAAACAAAATGTGTTCCCTGTTCTTGTATCTGCTGACCAATAGATATGCATACGCAGTTCTCTTTAACCATTTAAATTCAACACCAAACTAATAGCTGCCCATCCCGCAAGACTGCTGACCTGAAGACAAAAAAAGTTTATTCTTGTGAAAAACTGTTGGGATAAATTAGGTCCCATTCAAACTTTATATGCTTTGCCACATGTAGCCAATCAGAACGTCATATTAAATCCAAGTACAGAGGCCTTACAGCGTGTCATCACTCTGAAGGAATACTTACTCCCTGTCGTCCTTCTTCACGCTAATTGCTATTTCTTTGATCCTCTTCACTGCCTATGAATAGAAAATAAGAACAGAGAAATTACACGATGCTGAAATGCCATTTATTAGGCATCACAACCAAAGCTGCAGCCACACAAGGCCGTCCCACAGACCACAAGGTTCCACACCTCACAAACACAAACTACAATTCATTCACAGAAAAAGAGATGTTCAACATAATAAATCTGACCGTGCAGTATTTGTAACAGTCAGACTAAATGAGAACCCACAAACACTGTTAAAACCCCCCGCATCTGATACAAAAACGTCGAAGCTGTGAGCAGACTGCTGAGATGAGCAGGCGAGCAACTGAAGTCTACAACAAGACTCACACAGGAAGCCCAGGTCTGTCACGCCGCCATGTCTATTGTAAAGGTGTTATTGGCTCTTGCAGCAGCCTCAGGTGCATAGTGGTAAGCTGCTAGCGGCTGGCTAATTCCAACAAAGGCCCCCTCCGGGACGCTGCTCCGAGTCACCTACCAGCTGAGTGGCCGTGCGGAAGGCGCGGATGATGGTCTGGGGGTGCACACCCTCCTCCACGTACGGCTTCAGCTGCTTCAGGAACTCAGCCGCCAGCAGGGTGACTGAGGTGGTGCCGTCGCCCACCTATGGAATGAATGGCACGCCAAAGGCCGTCAGAGAGAGCGGCTCACCCGGCACTAGCATCGCACAGGGCTGGCTCAGCACCAACCTCAGCATCCTGAGACTTGGCTATGTCCACCAGGGTTTTGGCTGCAGGGTGGATCACATCGAGGAGCTTCAGGATAGTGGCTCCGTCATTGGATATGGTCGCTTTTCCTATTGAAAAAGAAAAAAAAATATATACATTTTATGTCCGGTCTCACTGAAAAAATCACACAGATTTAACTAAAGCGCCTAAAAGTATCCAGCTGCATCAAGTGACAATATCCTCTGCAGAAAATTGTTAGCTCCGCTTCTCATTTCTGGGGCTGTTACACCTTATGTCACGTGGCATAAACCCTAGGGCCAGAATGTTGCCATGGAAACACACATGGCTAGCACAACCACCAGAGATAAACCAAAACTGAAACTAAGATCTGCACATAATGTGGGATCACAAAAAGCTGACAATAGAATGAAGGCATGATACACATTAGGGTGTATTATCCAGGGTATTTGCAGAGTCAAGCAAAAAAAAAAGGGTGCGACAGAATAGGGTATACTACGGTAGTTTGGGTATACTGAATTTTTTTCATTCAGCAGCAAATTTTATAGTTAAACATTCTTGTCATAACAGTGAAAATGTGCAAAAAATAAATACGCTTTTGTGCTGTTACGTCAAGAAATTACTGGTGCATTTATCTCTTTATACCACCAATGCGTAACAGTTATGTTCATTTGAAAATGTACCGGACTTAGGTTTTAGTTACACTCTTAAGCTGCGTCTGAATGCTTACTGCTAGCCAGGCAGCCTCTTTCTTTTGTGGTATTTTAGATTTAAGCAGATCAATCAAAAAGGACAGAAAGCCCAGATACAAATTCAAATTCAATTCAAAAAAACTTTATTTGTCCCCCAGAGGCAATTAAAGGCACACAGGGCAGTTGAACAAGAACACAATGATGCAAAGTGCAACAGTATTTGACAATGAACTGCATTCCGTACTGGTGTGAGACTGAGGGGTCAAACCCCGCTTATGCCAAACTCAGCTGGTTTAGCGAAGTGAATTTGTGGGTCCAAGTTCATTTAAATAAACCTGGATTATCACCACCCTGCAAGTTTTCTTTGCCACCAGAAAAGAATTTTGTGTGTGTTGGGGATCCAAGCCACGCTCCTTCACAGCCCAACAGCTCTGCTCTCACCTCTGTTGTCCACCATGAGCTTGTCCATACCACGGGGGCCCAAGGTGGTGCGCACTGCCTCGGCGATCACCTGGCAGGCGTTGATGTTGCTGACAAGCTGAGGGACACCCTGGGAGGTGTCTGTCCCCTCTTTCAGCAGGATGACTGGAGTGGGCTGCAGGGACAGAGGAGACTCTGCATAATGGGATTCTGAGGTGCTGATAAGTGTTCACTGACAACACTGGTGTGCTTGATTAATATATCAAACACATGTACAACCATCAGCACAGAAACACTCTCCCAATGGTGTTTTTGAATATAATCCTATAACACATCTAGATCTGATCACTAAGATCGCCATTTACACCTTAATACCAACATTTACAGCGTTAATTTGGTTTTGGAAAACCCGAACTAAACATTTCAAACAGAAAATACTGTATATTCATTCGTATCTACGTTAATGTTTGGTGCGTTAACTAGTCGAATAATGTAATATAATAAATTTATAACTGCTCAGAAGATCAACTAACATAAATTTAAATGTTAGTTGCCAGGTCATTTCAATACCATTTCCACAGAATAAATGCAATATTTCACCTATAACGGCAATCACACCACTGTCGCAGGGTGATGACGTAGAAAACACCGGCTAACTACATAGCCAAATAGCGCATTTCTTTTTCTTTAAATTTTTTTTTGTATGTTTTCGTCCTCAAATAATTCCATATATGTAAATTAAGACAACACTATATTACGACAGTAAAATCACAACATACTGCTGAAGAAACTTGTCTTAAAGGATACAGCCACCCGGCAGCACACATTCATTACGAAAAAAATACAGCCAAAATGAACATGAACAAATAATAACGTTAATTTAGAAAAGACACATTCCTTATCTTAAAGCGAACACGTTAGAGACTCCGCATTTAACATAAATACTCCGATGGCGATGATTTCTACACGATAATACATCGCACAGACACTCACCATCATTTTGCAGCACTAGTGAGACAGCGGCTCCGGATCGATGTCCCAGAATGCACCGCGTCACTGATCAGCGGACAATGCGTAGCGGACTGTAGTAAAGGGAATGAATCGCTGCCGTACCCGTAGGACAAAGCATTCCGGCATTAGTGTGCTTCTCTCGTACATCTAAAAACCATTCGGAAAAATTAAATACAAACAAATCATCAATATGTATAATACGGAAGAGCAGTATCTCAAAAAAACGGCACGAATAATACTTTATACTGGCATGCATCACCCACTTTATTTGAACAATGTTTTACATCTCTTTTTACCATGGGAGGAAAACACATGACACTTTCATCAATTGTTCACACTCATTTGAATAAGAAGCCATATTTCCAAATGGAATGCGGAGGTCTTGGGTAAGGTAAATATGAAATGCATATAGTACACAGCAGGCATGCCACTCTAATGACACTGAAATTAGCCTAAGCCAGATAGCTACCTAGCTGAAAACATGGCAGTCTGGCCCATGCTAATTTCCGTGTTTCCTTACAATGGCATACCTGCATAAATATGTGTGTCATAATTAAAAATTCTGTTCATATTTTATTTCGTATTTTCAAAATTGCCTTAACTAAAAACTGTGCAGCATGTGACGCTGATCCGTAGCTCCGCCAACCGCCCGCTCTCATTAACATATTTTCATGTCGTGAACTTGAAAATGAAAAGGCAAAGTAGGAAATGAAAAGTCAAACGGGAAAATGAAAAGACAAAAAGGGCTTTTAATTTTTCACATCTGACTCATATACTTGAGTGGAAATTAAAATGCAAATGGTGCTATTTCATTTCAATTTTCATTTTGCAGGATTTTTGCGCACAGACTGGAAACTAAATGGCAATGTGGAGATTGTATTTTCTTTTTATCATTTTCACGTTATTTTTTGCAGAAAATACCTCCCATATTATTCCACTGTTTTTTCTTCTTCAATAAGACTTTCTGTTTGTTATTGCATATTTATTATGTTGTTTTTTTCTCCATTTTCTTGTATTAGTATTACTATTTTAATTACGTTTTATTTTATTGCAAGTTACAGTTTCGCCCAACTAGCTCAGTACTCTCTGACTGTCAATCGCAACTGGTTAGTTGAAACAAAATCTTGTTCTGGATTTTTAGTTTCTGAAAACTGAAATGACCACCTCTGCGTACACTAAGCATATAGTGCAGGGTTATAGAAATCATGATCCAAGCACCCTTGCGGTCACAGCACTGCTGGTTTTCCAGCCTTCCTTTACCTGTGAGCCAGGTGTGAAGCCTCTGACTAATCAGAATCAGTGATTATTAAACTAACTACTTGGGAGGACTGAAAACAAGGCCTGGATTTGGAATAGAGGGCAAGATTTGAAGAACCCTGATATAGTGTATTTAAGTTACAGCAGAAACGAATGTAAAGGATTTACCAATATATCTACTCTACTGTTAGAAATAAAACTTTAAAAAATATATTTATGGTTTTTATAAAAATATAGAAATATATACATTTTCAATAAAAGTGGCTTAAAAACCGACTTGGTTGTTAATTATTTCCTTTCACTCTCTATCAGTTACTTCCTGATTTAACCCAATGTTAATGTGCAGTGAACAATGGGAATCTATACAACGCATTATATGGGTATATATGATCAAAAAAGTCAGCCACTTGGTTGTTTCAAATGCAGCTGTTTTTATTACTTTTTAATATGCTTTGAAGTCAGCTTAGCAATGCATACATGTTTGAAATATTTTTCCACTGTTCTCTTTAATAATAATATTCTTTTTCATTCCTGATTTCTGCTCTGCAGGGCCTAATGGAAAGCAAGCCAAAGCTCGGACTTTTTTTTTTTTAAATCATCCGTTTTGCTCGTCATTTCTTGTTCCTGTAGTATTCCGGAAATGCGCAGTAGAATGGCAGGGCTTTGCTGCAGTTCATTGGGACCCAGGATCCACTTTCTAAAACAGAACAATAAACAAATGAGAACATGAGTGATGAAGGCTTTGAAAAATGCTAAGAATCCCAGCATGATTTACTGCCTGTTGAAGACTCAGTTTATTCATTACTAGGTCTACTGCATATGCACACATTCTTACTGGTCCTGATAGTTAGAAAATGCTCAGATACAGAACATATTTTGCCAAAACAACTAGAAAGTTCCTTTCTTGAACAATCTTCCCATCACAGACACTAAGCCCACTGAGCCACTCACTGCCACATAATTAAAAACTAAGCTTTAATTTTTTTCTCACCTTTCAAAGCACTGCATTGTGGATTATTTGTCTCTGGACCACTCACAAATCTATGGTAGTCAAATACCGACCCATCTGTCCAAATCCAGTTTGATCCCTGGGAAAGAGTGAGGTGGAGGTTATTTAAATAAAGGATATTGAAATTGGCCATTAAATATTACTGCTAAATGTACAACATTATGACATAAGGAAGAATTTAGTGCTTTTGGTGTTGATTGCAAAATTTCAATACATTTAGTTATTCAATCGGCATAAGACAAGGGGCAAGGGCATGGATCATGTGATGTGGGAAAAGGTCAGGTGACAAGGTGACAGGTCCCATCCACATGCAGTTTGCTTTATGTGGTATCAAATGCTTTTGTTCTGTAGATGCTCCTGACCCCATATCCAGCCCTTTTGTCCTTCTAGCCCAGATATCGTCATCCTTATGTTCTTTACACAAAGTCCCTGTTCCCTCCTTTTGCTCCTGTATCTGCATCTGTATCTCACCCCAGCTCAAGAGAATCTCACAATATTCTCACTTACCTGTAAGAATCCACCAAGCCAGGCATAACCGATGTGCGAGCTCGAAATCAAACTGGTCAGCAGGTTGTTGGCAGCTTTGCTGTGGACACTCACGAGTTCACCATACTTAAAGGACTTCTGACATGTGACCTAAAGTGTAGAGAAGAAGGGACTAATTAGTGAAAACTTAAAGGATACAGAACCTAGGATTAAACCTGGGTGTGGTGTTTGGAAAATGGATGTATGTTTAAATAAATAGGACTTATAATCGTATATTTAAAATATAGCAAAGGGTGCATCTCTCAGGTTTAAAAATGTTATTCCATAGACAAATTAACATAGCAAAAATATTTGCATAGCACTGGTTTATTTGGACTAAATTGCATGTGAATGTAATAACTGGCATATTTTGAGTAAATAAATATTATAACCCTGGCTTAAATAAAGTAAATAAATATAGATCATTTAAAATAGACCTGAATATTCAAAATTATTCTTAAAAATTGTATAAAACAATTAATCGCTTTCCCCAATGAACTTTAATTTTTTTTATTACATTTTGTATTTATTAAAAATATTTTTCACTGAGATTTTTCTGAAATGCCTGTTCCTAATCAGATGTTGTCTAAAACACTCAGTTCTGCAGAAGAATAAAGGAAACAAGAACCCGAGCTGTGTTGAAGTCCAGATGCTTGTTGAAGAACTTCACACAGTAGATGCCAATTTTGTACAAGTCCGAGTAATTTTTGTGATAACATTGTTTTGGAGACCGGTGGTCTTGCACCTCTGGAAGGAAAGAGGGGGACAGTGATACGGAGAAAGACTAACTGCAGATTAAGGACTGACATTTTCATCGTTTACACAGCATCAAAATTATGCAACACAAAAATGTACTGAAAAAAGCATGGAAACTGGAAGAATGTCATTGGAAATAAACAGATTTTGCAGGGCACCACATGCATGCCACTGCACAATATTCCTAGCATATCTATGATTTTACGGATAATTTTCTATGTGATACATGATCTGTGTTTCACCTTCAGCATTGACCACCAGGAGACACAGCAGGGTAAGAAAAGCCACAAGCTTCATCTTTTACAGTGGTGGTTCTCTGTTGGACCTGGAATAAAAGACAAACAAGCAACCACATTCAATCAGTTAACAAATAAGTGCATGTTTCAGCATCATCACCCTTTCTTGTGCTATACATCGCGCACACAGATTTTCATAAATGCTCTGTAAGAGTAATTGTCGGAATTGTAAAATACAGTTTACCTCAGTTCCACTCTTTCTGATAGTGTTACATGACATGAGAGCCTTTATAAGTGTAAGTTAGGCCCACCCACTGTTTTGAAGATAATCTTCTGTTTGTTGAAGTGAAAAAAAAAATACTTTAGCAGGTTTCAAACTGCAGTTTTTGCAAATGAAAAGCAATATTGCCACTGTCATCAATATTTTTTTACAGAAATGTTTTTCTTCACATGTAATTATGGGATTTATCGTCCAGGGTCAAGCTCTCTGTTTAATCATGTATTTAATATCTCATAATAATTAATAAAGTAGGACTCATTATTTGTTTTGTAGAAATGTAATTGTTACGAATGTTATAACTATTGCTCAGTCAACAAAAAAAAAGCTTACAAGTAGAAAGCAGCCAATCAGAAGTCATAGTTTAGTCATCCTGTATTTACAAGTCTACATTCATTTATGCCAATTTTTGTCAGAGGAATGACACAGGAAAACTCCTTCTGGCTTTGGATACCTAGCAGTTAGATATCTAACACAATCCTCACTCGCCCCAGTGTTTCACAGCTGTGTTTCATATTCACAAGAAAATGGACCCCCAAGTGTGATGAATATCTCTGCCTTCTTGTGCTAAACATAACTAATGTCAGCCTTTCAGTGGGTCCTTTAGGGGTCTAACAGTGAAATCACTTTACTGCCCTACAGACTTGTACCTGTAGCCATCGGGGCTGTGACTGGCTCAGTGGGCTAAGTGACTGTCTTCGGAAAAGTTGCTGGTTCAAGCTCTGATCTTGACAGTACAGTTACATATCCATGGGTTCTTGAGCAAGGGCCTTAACTCCCAGCTCCTGGGACACCACACATTAGCTGACCCTGCACTGTGACCCCCAAGCTATAGAGAATGAGATGTACCTTCTCATCGTGGTCAGCATGATCAAACACTTACAGAGCCGAAGTGTTTGTGGTTTAGCAGGTTTGGATGCTTTATCTGTAATCGTAAGGTTATGGCTTCAAACCCCCCAGTCAGCTGGCTGACTTCAGTTCTG